AACCCAACTCATCCCACACAACACATCATTCAGTTTTCATCAAACTGACAGAAAGAGTTTCTTTGAACAAATGGAGATATCTGTTGTTACAGTCACCAATTACTGCCATCTACTGGCCAAACCGCATAACTCTACAACAGAATTAGTTAATGTCAATGCCATGTTAATTTGTGTTTAATTTATTTGATATATTATTGTAAAAACAAATCAAAGAAAAAGCTAATGCTAAAAACCACATCTCAGTCCTACAGAGGATTATGAGAGCGAGGCACGAGAAAAAGTGACAACTTTGCAGTGGTGTATGAGAAAAGTCAAGATTTAAGTTGTAGTTTTAAAATTAGAATGGGTTATGAGTTGAAATACATCAAATTAAGACTCCTTTTGGTCCTCCGCTCTATTGTTGTCCAAACGATTTCAAAGACAAATCTCTTGCACACACTCTCTTCCTGTGACCTATTTCTTCACTACTATGATTGCACATACCTTGGTTAAAATCTATCCTACCTACACAATCACAAGGCTGTGAATTAAATAATCAGTATTGCACAATATTGTTTTACAAATTCACGATAAATTCTAAATATTTTCTTGAATTCTTTACTTTTGTCACTTCTTCTTTCATAATCTCTTTACAGATATAGATAGGGGTATGCCATAAGGGCTTTGCGTATTAACACTTTGTCACCTTTCCCTATCATTCTTTCATTTTATAAAGCACTTTGTTTTTGAAAAGAAAATGATTGGTCTATGAACGAATATGGTTGAATGGCCTAAACTGGTCTGCAGACAGACGGATCCCAGTTTGTAGATTCATTAGTAGGTCATCAGATCAAATAATGCACCACATGAATAAAAAAACAATAAATAAACCTCAAAATTAAATATAAAATTAGATACAGCTACAAATTCAACACAACACATACAATAGTCTCAAATATAGCAAATCTCAAATCTCAAAGATTTTAATCAAAAATATACCTTCAAAGAACACAGCCATACAGTATTCAGTGTGTCAGTGTGTAATAACTGTGTGCAGATTTGTGTGCAGATATATTCACTGTGAATATACATATATGTATATATATATTATGTAATTTAAATGATCAATATACGCACACTTATTTATGTAAATACTGTAATTGACATCTTAATTGACTCATCTGTCACATAACTGCATTTTACTTATTATCATGTTACTTCAGCATCTTTTGCACTATTCACCACTGCACTGTTTCATATTTAGTCATTTTAGTCTTTTCTTATTATGTTTATTGTTGATATTTAATGTTCTACCTGTTCATAAGAGAGCACAGTTCACCAAAGTTAAATTCCTTGTGTGTGTAAGCATACCTGGCCAATAAATTCTGATTCTGATTCTAATTCAAATTTGTTAAAGTGCAATTACAGCTACAGAGATGTTAATGTTAGTACACTAATCAAGTGATATTTCCTGTGACAGGAGCTGCTGCAACCTGCTGGTCACAGCCGATGTATATGCCCTATAGTGAGACTTAGAATACTGTGATTTAAGTGCAACCTCTTCTTCTTCTAAATCTTCTTCTAAACATAGAATGAGCTGCGTTTGTAACATACCTTGTTCCTTCTCTTTCTTCCATGTCTGTTCTCTGTAACAGGGAAGGACTCCTTTTGGCACGACTATGTGTTGCTTCTTCTAAACTATCGTATACATGGAGATATTCAATGTCACCATCATTTGTGTCTCCAGACAGTAAGCTGTCATCATTCTCCTGTTGAAGCACCATGTATTTGTTTTCATCATGGTGACTGATGTTCATCTGGACCTGCTGTTGGTACGCTCTCTCCTGTGCTAAACTCTCCGTGTCTGACTCCACTGACTCCCACTGTTGCTTCTCTTGCTCTGTCTTCTTCTGGCGCATCTTTTCATGGTTCAGTCCTTTATCCATGATTAAATTGTCCGTTGGCAATCTGTGTTATAAAGAAAAGTTTATTGTTAAAGTAGACAGCATAGTTTAAAAGTAGCTGATGTATAAAGGAACATTCATTTTATCGTTTCTATTCTTTGAGTCACACATTTCTTCCTCTGTTCAGTGCAGATATGAGACATCGCAGAGCTCATAATCTGATGTACTTCACCACCATCATCTGCCATCTCCACTTAAAGTGAATACTTTAAAATCTGGGCCCTACTCTTTAAAGAGCCAAATGACTAATGAGTACATAAAGCTTTAGTTATAACAGTTTCAACATGATCAGAGGTAATCTGCACAAAGAAAGTATGTTGAATAAAAGTGTTTATTTTTTTTTACACAAAGTCACCAGACTTCATTCTGTCTTAATAAAATGTATTTTCTTCTTTACAAAAAGATCGTAGGCAGTGTTTCCCCTACCGTTATATATATATATTTATTTTTTTTAGATTTACTTTTGGGCATTTTGTGCCTTTATTGGAGAAATAGGACAGTGGACAGAGTTGGAAATCAGGGAGACAGAGAGTGGGGAATGACATGTGAGAAACGAGCCGCAGGTCAGATTTGAACCTGGACGGCCCAAGGACTACAGCCTACATCACCCTAACTACTTTTTGTACCTTTAACTAATTTAGAACCAAAAATAGGGATGTAAAGATTAATCGTAAAATCATGCTAAAATGAAATTGATTCAAAGGTGTCAAGTTCACAGATTCGTACTCTTAAAAATGAACCACAATAATATAGTGAGCATCAGCAGCTCTAGAGCAAGATTTAGAAATTGATGATAGACCACCGTCTTTTAAATCGGAGGTGTGGAAACATTTTGGCTTCTCCAACACAGAAAATGAAAGAGGTGAGAAGATAACAGACGAGAGCAAATATTACAAGACAGAGAGCCAGCAGCCCTGAAAGGAATCTTTTTCACTCCCTGTCTACAGTCTCATTTTGTAAAATAAATCATGAGAGAATCATATCATGAACCTAGTATCATGAATCGTATTGTGAGTTGAGTGAATCATTGTAAACAGGTTCAAAAAAGGCCCCAATTCCCCTTAAATCCACACAATCAACATGTCTCAGCACAGTTTTAATAATGAGAATGTTGTCAGTATTTTAATGAATTATTCTAAAGAATGTTTTTATCAATCTCAGGAGAAGTATTTAGCTGAATGTTGTAAACCAAACCATCTTAACTAAAAGATATGATGAAGTACTGCTTGTATAGAGTTTAAATGCCTAGGTGTATAAATATCATGCAGTAAATTAACACAGACACAATGTCACAATAGACACTTTAATTTTAATTATGGAGAAAGCACAGGGGTCATAATGATGCCTCCTTATTATTTAGGTTTTCCAGTAGGTCTAAGACGTCTTGTGTTCAAACTTCACATTACAGGTCTTTTTTTTACTTTGTCATGTTGACCTCTGTTAATAATGTTTTTAATTTAAGGAGAAGGGCTTTAATTCATTTTCTAATGATTTGTGCAGTCATGACTCCAGCTCATTCATCCTGTCTGTGAGCTGCACATTATTGTCAGTAGAAGATTTAACAGGACTTTTTTTGGCTGTAAAATAAAGACAGCTCACAAAATATAAAATTCCATGAAAACTGTTCTGCTCCTCTGAGAGTTAACTATTAGTTACAGCGGTATAGGATATAACAAAACATATAGGTAATATTTGACTGACGTGATTTTAAAATGACATTTTAAATGTCTGTTGCACTGACATTGTGTTGCACTGACATTTATGCCTCATCATTACCTACAGAACCTGCACCTCAGGTGAGAGGCACACAAAGAGAGGAGGCTATTCAAGGTCGCACTGATTGTTGGCAAAACATAAAATTCATCGTGGATTTTTTTATATAAAAGAAAAAAAAATTGAAGCCAAAAGAAATGATGGCTCATTAAAGCGATGGCAATGTGAGCCTCATAACTGAAACCGCCACACCTGAGGGAGTTTCACTGAAGCCACCATCCATGTTATAGTGATTAATTACACCTGCGTTTGTAACGCTTGTTCATGTGATCTCGCTTATTGACTTCGGCGGAAAAATGTAATGCAGTTATAATACGCATTGAATGATTACATAAACGCCAAATAGAAACATAATGCCTACTATATCACATGTTGGAAAAGTAGTTGGGAATTTAATTCTGGACTCATTTTACATTTATTTTAAATTTAAGTGAAATGAAAGCATGCGTTTAAAATGTAGAGTTTTTTGGTACTTTGTCCCTTTTTAGCTCTAAAATATAACAGGAGGCCAGACAAATCATAAGTGTTTGTGAAACACGAATGTGTGAGCTAGCATTTGATCTACATTTAGCTAATGTCAAGCCTTCAGCTAGCTTTGCAGCTGTCGTGTATTTTGACAAACTCAGAGTAAACACATTACTTTTTCACATATTATATTCAAAAAGACAATCAAATAACGAATTAGTACACAAATGTAAAACACGGCGAGAGAAGTCGCTTAGACTCACCTGTTATTCTCCGTCAGTGATCTGCGAAACAATGTAACCATGGCAACGCCGACGTACCCATGCTGCCTTCAACTGCTGCTCGTAAAAGCTCCGACAATATATAGGCCTATCGCACATTTTTCTAACGGTCAGAAAATAACTAATTAAATACAATTAAGAGTTCAGTGTCTCTCCTCCACACTGGGTTTATCAAATACACCTCTAGTTTCCGTAATCAAGTCAAGGAAGCTTGTCTGGCCAGCAGATAGTGCTGTATAACCGTTAGTGCGTCTTGCGAGTCTCACGTTTAATACACTGTTCAGTGAATTACCTGGTCGTTTCTCTTGACCTGGTGTTCCGGGTACCGTAATAAATCTTATTAATTCTACATTATAGAATACTTTAAACTTTAGTGACATTACAGCAAGCATTTCTTTCATAGAAGAACGTCTGCACCTCTTATATCTACTACACATATTAACAGTATTTTAAAGTTAGTAGAGCCATACGAAAAAAGTCATTTTCATAAACAGCTTCTTGCCGTAGATACAAACACAAAATATAGATAAGACAGGCAGAGGGTTACAAGAGTGTTTATTTTTCAGTGACATCTCAGTATATAAAAACTTTACCAGATGTGAATTTGCAGCTTTATTGTGCCCACTTGAAATTGTTCCCAGTTGTGTCACAAACAATGCAATCAATGTGATCCATGAACCCCAGTATTTTATTCACTCAATAGCTTGTTGATGCTTGTGCCATGAGGGTTACTTTCTTAGAAAACATCTTAGGAGTGGATAAAGTGATGGAATGGTTTAGTCGACCTCCTCAATGGTTGGTCCAGAGGATCCACCGCCACCAGGTGCGGCACCACCTGCTCCAGGGAAGCCACCAGGCATACCCTCTGGCATACCACCAGGCATGCCACCTGCACTCTGATACAGCTTGGTGATGATGGGGTTGCACACCTTCTCCAGCTCCTTCTGTTGATGCTCGTATTCCTCCCTCTCTGCAGTCTGCAAAAGAACAACATTTCAGTATTTTGGCACAAACATGTCATCATAACAAACAAAATCTAGTACGTTTATTATTAATGTACCTGGTTCTTGTCCAGCCAGCTTATGACCTCGTTGCACTTGTCCAAAATCTTCTGCTTGTCATCATCACTGATCTTGCCAGCAAGCTTCTCGTCCTCCACTGTGGACTTCATGTTGAAAGCATACGACTCCAGGCCGTTCTTGGCAGACACCTTGTCACGCTGGACATCATCTTCAGCCTTGTACTGCTCAGCTTCCTGAACCATGCGCTCAATGTCCTCCTTGCTGAGGCGACCTAGGAACAAAAATTCAAAGTGTCAGAAAAATAGTGGTGGAGTAGTTTCAGAGTGTTGTCAAATTTAAACTTTAACTCACCCTTGTCATTGGTGATGGTGATCTTGTTCTCCTTTCCAGTGCTCTTGTCGACAGCAGACACATTCATGATACCGTTGGCATCAATATCAAATGTCACCTCAATCTGGGGAACACCACGAGGAGCAGGAGGGATACCCGTCAGCTCAAACTTGCCCAGCAGGTTGTTGTCCCTGGTCATGGCCCGCTCACCCTCGTACACCTGTCGAAAAGATACTGTTAGCACAATTTTTTTTTTTTGTAAACACTTGCGTCATCTTTATTTCGCTCAGACATCCAAGGAAGGTCAGGGCCATCTTTGGTCTTGCGACCTCTGGTGGAAACTACGAATGGCAGGAATAAACGTCATCACTGCGAGTATAATAAAAATAAATAACTGAAATGGACATAAAGATGAAGCACTCACCTGGATGAGCACACCAGGCTGGTTGTCTGAGTAGGTGGTGAAGGTCTGGGTCTGCTTGGTAGGAATGGTGGTGTTACGTTTGATCAGGACTGTCATGACACCGCCAGCGGTTTCAATTCCCAGAGACAGAGGGGTGACGTCAAGGAGCAGCAGGTCCTGCACATTCTCAGACTTATCACCAGACAGGATGGCAGCCTGGACAGCTGTAAAATTAAAAGACAAAAAGAGCATGAAGGAAAACTCTAGCACATTAAGGCCCAGTACTGCTCTCCTTACCAAGATTCATCTTAAATGATATTTGCACCCTGGCTGTAGACACATACCTGCTCCATAGGCCACAGCCTCATCTGGATTGATGCTCTTGTTCAGCTCCTTTCCATTGAAGAAATCCTGGAGGAGCTTCTGAATCTTGGGGATACGGGTGGAGCCACCGACCAACACAATGTCATGAATCTGCCCTTTATCCATCTTGGCATCACGGAGAGATTTCTCCACGGGGTCCAAGGTACCACGGAAGAGATCAGCGTTGAGCTCCTCAAAGCGAGCCCTGGTGATTGAGGTGTAGAAGTCGACTCCCTCATACAAAGAGTCAATTTCAATGCTGGCCTGGGTACTGGAAGACAGGGTGCGCTTTGCCCTCTCGCAAGCGGTGCGCAGACGACGAACAGCCCTCTTGTTGTCACTGATGTCCTTTTTGTACTTGCGCTTGAACTCTGCAATGAAGTGGTTGACCATGCGGTTGTCGAAATCTTCTCCACCAAGATGTGTGTCTCCAGCAGTGGATTTGACCTCAAAGATACCATCCTCAATGGTCAAGATGGAAACATCAAAGGTGCCACCACCAAGATCAAAGATGAGAACGTTCCTTTCAGCCCCAACCTGAAATGAATTCTGTTTTCAGCTCAGATGTTTAAACAAAGTCAAGGACCAACAAAATCCTTGTGAATGTAGAAAGTCTGGAAAAAAAACAAATTGGTCAAGCATTTTCTACCTTTTTGTCCAGTCCATAGGCAATGGCTGCTGCAGTTGGTTCATTGATGATACGCAGAACATTGAGGCCAGAGATTGTGCCAGCATCCTTAGTAGCCTGGCGCTGAGAGTCATTGAAGTAGGCTGGCACAGTAATTACAGCATTGTTGACAGTCTGAGGAAATAAATGGAAAACAATGAAACATCAGCACAGTTAAAGACCTACACTCAATATTTTATACAGAGATATGCCTAATGACTTACTTTTCCGAGGTAGGCTTCAGCAATCTCCTTCATCTTTGTCAGCACCATAGACGAGATCTCCTCTGGGTAGAAGCACTTTGTTTCACCCTTGTACTCAACTTGGACCTTGGGACGAGTGCTGTCATTGACGACATTAAATGGCCAGTGCTTCATGTCAGACTGCACAACTGTGTCGTCAAACCTACGGCCAATTAGTCGCTTGGCATCTGTAAAAACAAACAATTCTTTACTATTATGGGAGATGGGGTGGGAAAAACAACAAAGTTTTGTTTGTTAGTGATCACTCAGACATCCAAGGAAGGATTTGGCCATCTTTGGTCTTTCAACCTCTGGTGGAAACTACGAATGGCAGGAATAATCGTCATCACAGTGATCCATGAGTCACTTGGAACTCTTGTGTAATATTTGTCTCAAGTTAACATGTGAAACTTAAGCCATTGTTGCAAGAAAAAGAAAAAGAACACATTGACAGCACTATTGTTCAATTCTTACCAAAGACTGTGTTGGTGGGGTTCATGGCAACCTGATTCTTGGCTGCATCTCCAATCAGCCTCTCACTGTCTGTGAAGGCCACATAGCTGGGTGTGGTCCTGTTGCCCTGGTCGTTGGCAATGATTTCAACTTTGCCATGCTGGAACACCCCAACACAGGAGTAGGTGGTCCCAAGGTCAATACCTACTGCTGGTCCCTTAGACATGTTTCCTAAGGGAGAAAGAAAGAATATAAGTTACATTCCAATTTAAATCTTGAAATTAAACAATTTAAGCCAAGGACTAATGTCACAACACCAGCTAGAACACAAATATAATGATATTGATAAGACTAAACTTAGTATAGAAATATGATAAATCTATGGTATTTTTTTCCATAGGCCTCAGTCAGTATTCTGGTTACTGTCTTTTCAGTAAACATTAATTTAAATAACACATGGAGTCTCTGAACTGACTCTAATTGTTACAATAATTGTAATGTTGCACGACACTGGCTGCTATTGCTGTAAAATGTTCAATCGCGGATTAATCAACTACTCTGAAATATAGCACTATAAACTAATAATTCAAGGCCAAACTATATGTGTTCATTCATTGCAGACTAAAAACAAATTTACTCAGTGACCATATCCATCAACGAAATTAACAAAAATAGGTTAAACTTGTTATATTGTTCCTCCACATTTAAGTAGCACACAGGCTATTGTTGCTACACTGGGGCTCACGATGCGGTTTAGGATTAAGATTAGGGATGGTAAAAAAAAAAAAAAAAAAATGGCGATCAGCACCGACCGCGTGACAAGTGAGCCGGCAAGTTGCCAACGACAAGCAGTGCTAGTGCCGGAAACGGCTAAAATGCTCATTACAGTAAGAGAAAAATATATTCTAATACACGTTACAAATATAACACTGCCGTAGGATTACTATACGGTCTCAACCAAATGAAAATGGAACAAAGACAGCCTGGACCTTGTAGTTACTCGATACTAAAGGCTTTTTATTCTGAAAAGAACAACCGGAAGTCTGTTGAAAACCCGTTTGCTTGACGTCGAGTGTTCGAGAACATTCTGGAACGTCTCCCTGTATTACTTCACCCTTCCCCCCAACACCTCATCTTTCTGTTAAGAAACGATAGTTTATGTTGCAGTAACCCCGTACAGAGAATAAAGTATTAATCTACTTTTATCACCCATATTGTCGAAATTACGCAGCAATCACTTTAACCCAAATTCATTTGAGTTTATCAGTTAAAATCGCCAGTGACTTAACATAATAGCGTTACTATGGTGACTACCCCAACAACGTTCTCAATCCACGAATGTGGTAAATCAAGATTAAGAAAAATTATGCAGTTCTTGTTTATCAAAGAAATAATTACTCACCGGATTGATGGTAACTTAGGGTGTTGGGTGGGAATGGACAGCGGCGAGGTGATCTTGTCCTTGCCGGTATGCGAAGGGAAAGGAGGATGTTCAGTTAACGGGACCTTATATATGACCGGCAAAGAAGCCAATCAAACGTCGAGTTTATGCGTCTGTTCCAGCAGCCAACCAATGGCGCTCTGTATATTTGATGACGTAATTTGTCCTTCCTATTTCCTGCATTTCATAATCGCTGTGAAAGACCGCATGGCCTGGGAGATCTTTGTCCAGTGATAGCAAATGTAGATAGAGAACAAACCTTTTATTCATTCATTTTATATACAGTATGTATTGTTTTATTTAGCTCTAGAAGGAGCTTTAGTTCTTTTAAGGAATCATTGAGCAGTTGGCTAATTTTAGATATAGTTAAACAGCGAGCTGGGATGTAGCAACCTGAATCTTTTAAATGGAGATTGAGCAGAAAATACAATATTCTTTCTTATTTTGTAGTGTGTTCTGTAGTGTCTTCAACTATTGCATACGGCTTTGTATTTTTATAGTATAGTTGGTATGCTTTCTTTAATGAAATATGGACTGTTAGTGTTGCATGTTAGATTCTTAAAGAAACTTATTTTAACACAACGCTGTAATGTTAATTACGATGTAAATAAATTTGT